ACACAATTGTCAATGAATGGACATAATGTTCATCTCAGATCACAGAGGCGATCGTGATCCAGGAGCTGTTTACCACTTGAAGAGCCAGAATACAGACGCTATGAAACCCCAGAAGCTGAATGCTTTCTAACGTTAAGCTCAAAAACCTCCACTAGTTTCACGGTCAGATAACTTACAAACCACACAAGATGTTTACACGAACTAAAAGCTCTTCAGAAAGCATGGAGAAAAAGCACACATCCAAACTGGTGCTTTTCTCAACTGGGATTTTCTCCTAACTTCTTTTTTGGATGAAATCTCCCCTTCTGTGGGGAAATCATGCTTGAGGAGTCGTGAGGAATTTAAATTTTTTTCTCACTGGTTACCTACTTCCATTCCTTTTTTAAATAGTTGATGTCTGGAGTGTCATATTTAAATCCCCTCTTCAGCTGACTGTGTCTGGGATGCAGTGAGTTCAGCCAGACCATTTGAAAAATGGATGGCTCTAGTATTGGCGGCCTCGGGCAGCATAACTATGTAATCCCATTAAAAATGACTATCTGTTCAGTTCTGGGGCCTTATCCCCATCAGTGTCACTGTGGACACAGCATCTTTCAGTCGCTGATGAGGTTGGACAATGACTGAATACTTTTTGTACGTGTGAAAAGGCTTATTACCTAGCAATTGGTTAACTCGGAGGAATTCTTAGGGTTTTCAAGAGCATTTTGGTATTTCGGAAAGAAAAGGCTTCCTGTGAGATTTGTATCCTCAAACTACCGAGGCATTTCTGAGAGGACCTCTCAAGCTCTCCCCACCAGAGAGGTCACTGCGGATGCCTCTGTAGCACGTCCCCGTGCCAGCATCCTCTGCCAGCCCCCGGACCATGGAGATTGTGCCCTTCTTCAGGATGCATTTTTGTGTGTATTTTCTAGGTTCTGCACTTGCAGAGAAAGTAATAGGGGAAAAAATCATTCAACTCTATACAAATTTGTCACAGAAGATGTGTGTGGTGGCTCCAGGCCAAAATTATTTGCTAAAAACTTGAAGAGCCTCCGAGCTAGATAAACAGAAGGGTATTTCCTGAGGACAGGAAGGAAATTACTTGACTTTGTCGTACCTCCACCTTCCCACAAACTTTGACAATCTAATTGGCTTTCTTATCCAGACGGAAGTGCCGGAAATCCTGATTACCCATTGTTCCCATTTCGTGCATTCAGCATTTACCGTCTCCTCTCTGCCATTCAGCTCTTCCTCCTCCGGAGGAGCCAGCAGGATACAGATTATGGCATGATTACATTCTCCTCTAACCTGCATTTTAGGCAGCTATCAGTGTCAATCCAACTATTTATGCCATTGTAATCCTATGTGAAGTGAGGCACTCGAATGTTATGTCTGAGAGGATGTAACATAGCTGGAATACGTGAGCGTCCGTGTATAAGAGAGCCGAGTCTACTTCTCACTTGTCTTTATATCTCACCCCCTCTACCTGCCTGAAAAACGTGCACTTGTCAAACCTGTCTTAGTTGGCAGATCTCACACTTTATTCTTCCTGTAGCTCATCATAGACTAATCATGTCATATTTACAAGCTAATAACACATCTCAAATGCTCAACCATGTGGCTGCACTCAAAGTAAAAACTTGATGGTTGTGTTCAGTCCGAGCAAGATTGCTGCAGCCCAGCACCTCATCTCTGGCCCTGGCCAACAGCAGATACTTAGGGGTAAGGTATAAGAACATAACCAACACACTCCAGTTGGTACCCCCAGCTCTGACAGCATTAGTGTCAGGGACACCTTTGGGTTTGACAGCCCTGGAGAGGCTCCCCCAGCTCCCCTCCCCAAATTGCCTCATCCTTTTTTGAATCTACTGACGTTTTTCACATTGACACCACCTGTGACAGTGAGCTCCACAGCTTCATTATACGGTGAACAAAAAAGTACCTTCCTCTGCTCTAAAGTTTCATTTGATGTCTCCTAATTTTGGGGTTACGAAAAATATTCAGCAATTGTCCCCTCTTCAGCATGACATTCTACCTCGTTTCATCATACCCCTTTTCTCCGTCATCTCCTTTCAAAAGTGACAAATCCTAGTCTATTTTCTGTCCTTGGATAAAAGCTGTTCCATACCTTTGATCATAATTTTTGCCCTTCTCTGCACCTTTTCTGGATATAATGCTTCCTTTTCTGAGATGGGGATGGGGAGGGGAAAACAAGAACTGCATGCAGAATTCAAGACGTGAGTGCACTATGGATTTATAAAGTGGTAATGAGGGGTTTTGTTTTATCCTCTATTTCTGTCTCAGTAATTCCTATGATCCTTTTTGCTGCTTTGACTACCACTGAGCACTCAGGCTTCAGAGCACGCTAAAATGCGGAACCTATTCTTTATAACTAGTTTTATGTCTTTTAATGAACTCTCCTAATCTGGCGGAAAAGACACAGTCCCAACCTATCCACACCTGGAACAATGCCCAAGGTGCCTGCCTAGTAGGAGTGGGAGGATATTCGTGCTCTGAGATTTCAGTGAGCTAACAGCTTGCACTTCCTTTCATTAGATATTTTTCAGGCACTTAAACTTTAGCCCCATGCAATAGCTGTGTGGGGTAGGTAAGAATCATTAAATGAATTTCACAGATGGAGAAACTGAGACAGAGAGATTTGTCCAATTCACTTAGAAACTGTCACAAAGCCAGGAACAGACTGAGAACGAGACCAGTCTTTCCTTCCACCGGTGGCTGCAGGCGAAACGGCTGCCCCAGGGATTGTCCTCACCCGGGACTCCATGGCCACACGATGTCTTACGTCTTTACCCCTGCAGCTTGCAGTCTTTATCATGCCATGGAAAAACAAGAATCCCTACTCCAGCAAGATGGTGGACAAGTACAGCATGCCATCCTATCCTATCCTATCCATAACTCTTCTCTCAAGCTGTAATACCACTGAAGTTGCCAGCAAAGCAAGCCATGAAGTAGTTTTGAACTGTCCTATTTCTCCTCATATTATTTCAGACTGGATCACGTGCAAACCATAGAATCACAGAATGGTTTGGGTTGCAAGGGACCTTTGAAGGTCATCTCATCCAACCCCCCTGCAATGAGCAGGGACATCTCCAGCTAAATCTTTTCACCCAAATTCTCAAGGAACGCATTGCCACAATAATGTTTTGGTGGTAGAGGTGACCTGTGGGCTTGATTCTGGAAGATGCTTGGTGCTCTCAGGACCTCAGTGCAGCTACTTGGGATTTCACACCACCTAACCAGTTTTAATGAGAGGGCCTGGGTGGTTCAAGGAGCTGACAGTGCATTATGAAACCTTTCAAACAGACATCGCTGGCTCAGATCAAGCACAGGTAATGACTGGAAGTTATTACTATTGGCTATCAGGCTGTGAAATGAGTTTGGTGGAGTAAGTCAACAAGCACCCTTATCACAAACTGTTATCATTCATGGACACTCTCTTAGCCAACCTCAGCAGCGAATGCAGCAGCTAAATGGGCATGGATACTGAGATATGTCCTCAGTTGTTCTCCCGCTAGAGCAAAACATGCGTTGGCAGGGAAACTTATGAAAACTTGTAATGAAAAAGATGCTGCTACAATTCTCCTATGGGGAAGGAGCCTAACGCTGTCAGCTCGCACTCTGGGGATTTATCTGCAATAGTGCCAATGAGAGAAAAATGCCACTGCTAGCATATGTTGCCTTGCCATACCTGACTACCTAAAACTGGGAAACAACTCTGTGGGCTCAACAATTGTAAAAAGAGCACATTAGAAGAGAAAGAAAATGCTTTTAATGTGGAGAAGAGTAATTTCTCTTGAGAGTTCTTCATTTCTTAGGTAACTCTGGAACAAGACATCAGCGCAGACCCTGTCCCACATGATGCAAATTCTCCTTGTGGACCTTGCAGCAATGCAATCCCTTTAACTAAAATACCGAGAGCACTGCATGATATTTTTACAGACTGCGAGGATGGCTGGTGAATACAGTCTGCCATGGTCCATGCAAGGGGTTAATTAGAGTAAATTTGTGGAAGATGCCAGGTACATACCAAAGCACCCATGAAACCCCTCTCCGTGTGGGAATAAACCACAGGAATCCCATCCATTACAGCAAACGGGTCCCTCCGACAGGGAGAGGGGTCCTGGTAACAAACTGTTTGCTCTCTCTGCTGCTGTCTGTCCCAGAGCTCTGTTATAAAAGCCTTGATAATACCACTATTGCACAAAATGCAAAATCAAGGGAAAAAGACTCCAGCTACTCATGCTGTTTGTAGATAAATTAAACAAACCCAGAAAAGGTTGAGACAGCTGGAAATCTGACAGGAAAACTGGGTTTTCCAGGGAGAACACTAGAGCCAATTTACAGTTAATTACTGTGATTTGGAACAGCTCTGTGAGTAAATACCAGTCTCTGATTGTCCAAGTAAGGAAGATAATTGTTTCCTGAACTGTGTCCATTATGTATTTAAAATGTTGTCAGGCTGTTCCTTCCTCAAACTCTGAAGAGGTTTGGTTTCCAGCAATGTGAATCTGCTCCTCTTCTGTTAACAAGTAGCTAAAATCCTAACGCTGAGCATCATACCTGCCATGAACGCAATTTACTGAGTTCCACAGCCGTATTTATAAAGCAATCTCTCCTAATGATGAGGCTGCTGGACGATGCATGAGTTCGCAGCTGCAAAGCAGTCCTGCCATCACTGGTGAAACAGCTTTGAGCACAAGGAGGACTGGAGGGCCACCGGGCACCACCAGCCCAAAAATGTGCCAAGCACCGTACTACTGCAAAGGGGTATAGAGAAGGATGGGCAGCAAGAGAGAAGGGACCTCATGGAAAACCCCCAAATTGCATTATCTAGTTCTTTTTTTCTCTTCAGAGCGACTAGAGGGAAAACGTTTTTACAGAGATTGTACCAACATTTGAAAAACGGATATTGATACATTCATTAAAAGGCAACCCAAAAACTCAACGAGTACTAGGATGGTTTCTTAAGGAGCTCAAGTATTACTGAAATATTGGCTCACCTGAGTCCAGAGCAGGTACTGAGACTGACTGAGGAGTCGGGGTACCCTCGTACATTGCCGTGGTAATAGCAGTGACCCTGATTGCAAAAAAGAGAAAACATTTCAGTAATCATAAAAGCTCTTTGCTCTCTTGTTTTCCTATGGTTTTCAAAGCTGTTTTCAATTTCTTTCAGAAGTGCATTTGACAGCACCTTTCCTACCCCACTAAATATTCACTGTACTTAACAGTCCAAAGGGTTCCTAAATGGAAACCTTGGGTCTTTTTAAACCCCAGAGGTTGGGGTGGTGGGGTTTTTTTTGTTGTTGTTGTTTTGTGGCTTGTTTTTTTTTTTTTAAAGAGGGTCAACGGTATTTAAATTGCATGACTGACAACCTTTTCCTGTGTTATTTTATTTAAAGCTTGTGGTGGTGCATTTCCCACCCCCCCTCCTGGGCCGCTTGTTGATCTCAGAAATTTCCATGAGACCTCGGCCTTGGTGTGCTGAGTCCGGCGGTTGAGTGCTCCTGGACCATATCAGAAACTCTGCATGGCTGAGGCTGGGAACGTACCCCCACTGTCTGGCCTGGGGGTCAAGTGGAACGACACCGAAACCTTGAGAATTTTTAGTAACTACCACCTGGGACTGTGGCCAGGATGGAAATTTACAGATGACTAAAGCCAACCATCTTGCGAACCTACAAAGGGTGGTCCTGAGCGAGACCCTTTGAGCTCCCCTGGACCGCAGCGGGCTGCACCCAGCATCTCCCTCTGAGTGGGAGCCTCTCGGAGCTCGCGAACTCTCGGGTCTGCATGTGACCTGGGCTGAAGCTCTTCACTTCTCTAGGCTCAACCCTCGCCCGTTGAGAAATGCCGAGACATTTTATGTGGAGTATTTCTTCACCGAACTCGAGGGGAATTTTCAACAGGTCCCTCTTGTACATTTTTATATATATATATATTTCTGTCTGTGTGTGTGAACTAATAGTAAGCATAATCTGTAATTAAGTCGTGCTTATAGTAGACTCTGCTAACACTTATTTTGTAAATATTACATTAGTTAATGATTAAGTGCTGCTAAAACTGTGAATGAACCCTAGACTGCTGCTAAACACATATAATCCCTAAGATATAAACCCTTAGACATAACATGATTTTTCTTTATATGTTTCATCCCTGTAGTAAGTAATAGAGTGGACCTTGCCATCGAACTCTATTAAGTCGCACTTTTATAGGTCTCTATTAAAATCACTTTCCACTAATACCTTTGACAGTGATTCTTTAAGAGGTTTCTAAACCACTCATTCGCGACAAAGCTACAATATGGAATATTTTATAAAATGAATCAGATGAACAAATCAGCTGACACGTTTTATTACTTTCTATAGACACACATATTTTTATTTAAGGTAATTAACATCTATGTATGTCTATAGGAGGTAGCTATGTATAAAGGGAATATAAAAAAGCCAATCCCAACCCCATAGCTTGAGAAAAATCACGGAGCAAACGAAGGGGAAGGGAAACAGGTTGGAAAGGAAACCTTTTATTGAATTACCCAGCTGAGTGGCTGCATGTTATTAAGAACAACCAAGAATAAGCAGGTCTTCTATTTTGAGAGGCCACAATCCAATTTCATTTTGCAGCTAGGTTATTGTATTTCCTTAATAATCCACTGCTTGCAAAAGGCACCCACAACAGAGATTCTTTCTCAGCACATACACATATCTGTCTGGAATCAAGGTTAATTTTATTGTTGACTAAAGGTTATATTACATTCCCAATTATGTGACTGGCTGGAAAGCAATGACTGTGTCAACGTCCAGCATTTCTTTTCTCATGGCTCCTTTGAATGCCACCTGGAAACTGAAAACACTGTTGTAAAAGGTTCCTATCTTATTAATGCAAAGGAAAGTTATCACTCATGCTTCAACCTGTCATCTCACTGTGCCTTTTTATTACTTGGTTCATTCACATCCATCTAGCTGCATTAATTAACCTTTTCAGTTTTGGGGCATGGCTTTCACTTACAAAGCCTCACATAGCAGACTTCTAAAGACCACCTTGATTTTGTTAAAGAAAGCAATAGCCATGAAAATGCTGGGTAAGGTGGAATAATTCAGATATGAATTTTCTGCAAATAAGGTTATACCATGAAAAATATTTGTTTCAGCATTCGTATTTCCAACATGGGCAACTGAACACAGAACAGCAACATCTGACTTTTAAAATACAAATCTCAGTAGGTTTTCTCAGTGTAAGAAATGACAGAAACAGAGTAATAATGTTTTACTCTTGGGTATTTTTATCATCAGTACTCATAAAGAGTCAGTAACGCATTAGCAAGGATGAAGCCACAATAATAGGAGGAAGTCATAGACTGAATTTTTGGGGGACGATTGCTTCAGTCACCATTGCTATAGACGTCAAAGTTTTCAGCATGAGTGTACTATTTCACTTTTAATATTACCAGTTATGTGCATCCAGTTGATAAGACAGAAGAAAAAACACCACCCCCCGCCTCAGCACTGACTCTCATACAATGACCCTGAAACAGTCTAAACCCCAAAATAAAGTAGTTTTACTCTTGTCACTTAAAGTTAAGTATAAGGCAGAGGTGCAGTTCAGAGCTCTTAAGAAGCCAGCCTTTGGTGTTTAGCATCACCAGTGTTAAGCACAATCCTCAGTGAAAAGGGCAGGGCCAGCTGGTATCTCGTCCCACGCAGGCTGCCGCTGCAGTCTAGCTGTCTTTATCAAAGAGCGAATTATGGCAAAGGTCCCGATTTCTTTCCCTCTCTACACACAACTTGTCATTTTATTAACTTTGAGCTCCTTGTTGTGGCCCATTTCACAGCTTCTCTGAGCTCCACATGCTATATGATGCCAAAGTTCAGTACTGAAAATGTAAACTTATCAGACCATGGCCTGCAATTGGACTGGTAGAAAATTGATTTCTAGCTCAGTAACTCCACTGAACTGCAGGATTTTTTTTTTTTTTACTCCTATAAAATCTTTTTATTCCTGTAAACTAGTACATAAAATGGATGACCCCCTAAAAACAAATAATTACCACGGCTGATTTATCATACTTAAAACAGTACTCTACCCTTACTTGAGATCATTTAATAAATACCAGCTTTTGACAACTGCAAATTTTTCAAATGCTACAAACCAGAAGAACAACCTGGCCACTGACTCGTGTGCGAGAGAAACTCCCCACACGGCAGCTCCACAAACCTGACTTGGTCTGACCTCCAAGCAGAATTTGACTAAGCAACTTTTCAATGGGAAACTGGATTTGGTTTCAACTACAGACTATACTGATGCCCTCAGTGAAGAAGAAATATAAAAATAAAATCACAGAGGCTTATCTTTTTTAGACTACATTGCAGCATTTAATGAAAAATGAATTCACTGATCTCTCAAAAAAAAATTTTAGGCAGCAAAATGCACTGATAGTATTCATCATGACTTACCACCATTATGAAAACCGATTTTTTAGTGAGGGAAAGCCTAGCTATCATTAGCTGTACACATATTCATGTTAATGTAGTTAACATGTCAAAGAGTTGTGTGCTTCATTTCTTTCTTTTCACTTCCTTGAGGAGTCTGTACAGTCTTCCTGTTTCTAAAACAAATGACTATTTTCTACCAAGCTGATTTTGAAGAAGATATGAGCATCCAGCAAAAAAGAAAACTCTGGAAGCTTTCAAAATGATTGCTTTACTTGGGAGGTCTGGGGCTATAATGAAGATGCTTTTTCAGATGTTATGCATAGAAATAACGCTTTCACTGATACCAGCAAAGTCCATTATGGATGGGAACACAAAGCATGATGCCTCTTCTGACAGCGTCAATAAATAAGTAACGCAACAAAGCAAATATTTTATAGGACTTAGGCAGATAAAAGATAAACCTTGTAATTAAAATTGCTTGCTGCATTGTTTCTAATTAAGGCATTCATACTGTCAGAGGACAAAAACATTACTGCCTTAAAGTGTTTTTTATTTATAAAAAGCAGATTTTAACTACTGATTTTAACAAGGATCATATTAGCCATATTTTTATATATATACACGTACACATAAATATACACATACATACATGCATATATGTGTATAAAGTATATCCATAACAGTTTTATGGTCTGGTTTAAAAAATAAACCCAAACAACCAACCCCCTCTCCTAAACCCCAGCCATGGCTTCCCCAATGAGGAAAGACACCCAGGCCTTCAAAACCTCTGATGAGAGCTTCTGCACTATGGAAATCAGATGTTTAGGGCTTTCTTCCTGACTGAACCAGGACTTTCCTCCACAAGTGATCAACAATGGCTGCATTTATTATAATATTTTAATGGGTATATTTCCAAGAAGCTGAATAAATCTTACAGATTTTAAAAGTCACCTGGTTAAAACCCCACAGCTTGCCTTTAAACTCTCTCTCTAAAAATTCATGTGTAGGATCACAGCAGTCAAAAAGGTACCGAAGGCAACAATAAAAAAAGATCACACATCGAGCTGTTTCATCCCATGGCTCAGATCCCAGCAGAGAGCACTTTGGGTTTTAACGACGAAGCATCGTCTACCCACGAAACACCAACCTTACCGTGTAATTGCGTGCGAGAACCACATCAGTGCCGTCTTTCAAATAATGTGTTTCTGTGAAGCTGCTGGCTAACAGGCCCCTGAAAAAAATAGAGCAGACGCAATATTAAGGCCACGTCACCTTGACTTTGTCCTTTAGTGGTTCCGTTTGAGATAGTGATCAAAGCCAAGCATTAATGACGCAATGACTACTGGGACCATGTGCGAAATAAGGAAAAATATAACTCCAAGTACTGAAGCTGCAGAACATGAACACTTCCTTCATTAACGGTGAAAAGACAACAAGTTTCCAGACTGCTTTCTCTTCCAAATGAGGACTGCATGCCAGCGCATCTCAGTATTGAATCTTCCACGTAATTTTCAACACATTTTACATTAAATCTGAAATCTAGACATTTGGAGTATTGTTAAGTAATGGTGGTTTGTGGAAAAGGAAAATGATTTCCCTGTGTTACTTATTTTACTATATGATGTGTTGTATTCATCAGCAAGTGACCACCCAAAGACTAGTTTAGCTCACGGTAAATGAAACAAACTTCTTCCACTGACACTCAAGGAAAAACACTACAAGAACATTACAGAAGTTAGAGTACTGGATTTATTCTGAAAAGGATGTTCACGAATGGAAATCTAACGACTTGAAATGATGTATCCAGTGAAAGACCATGATTGTGAAGAGACATTTTGTTCTCATTCTCTCCACACTTCCCCTCCTGCCTTTGGCAATGATATAAAAAATCTTGACTTGCAATTACAATTTTCTGGAAATCTCCAGAGACGGGCATGTGCATGACAACTATGAAAACTGTTCTTTTTGTAATAAACTCATGGAGTAGGTGTGCTTTTTTAAAAAAAAAAAAAAAAAAAAAAAAGTCTTGCTATTGATCTGTTTTTCAACTTCTTATCTAAAGAGCATTTCTAGCAAGGCCAGAAGGAGGAATACATATTCACATTTACTCCTAACATAGGTGTGAAGCTATGTTCCTCAACACAAACGTGCTTGAGTTTTGACAAATATTCTAGTGAAGTGAAAAGCACAATATAGAAGAAACCAAAGATAAATGCCACCATCACCTTCAGAAAACTGGAGAGTTTGGACTATCCAAAATCTTTGGCACAGGGTTTCACAATGAAGCCTTTCTCCCTTGGGTTGTTCATTTGAACAAACCAGTCCTTTTCATTTCCTTAAAGCTGATTAATGCTGCACTCTTGCATATATACTAGTGTGAACTGGTACACAGTCTCGGTACACATTTCTTGCACTTTGTATAAACATTAAAACTAGAAAATGAACAAACATTTAATTTTCATTACTGGTTTATTTGCATCACATTAATATCCAATGGCTCAGTCACGATCAGGACCTAGTTGTGCTAGGAACTGTACAAACACTTATCAGAGAGAAAACTCATAGAATCGTAGAATCATTAAGGTTGGAAAAGACCGCTAAGATCATCGAGCCCAACCGTCAACCCAACACCACCATGCCCACTAAACCATGTCCCTAAGCGCCTCATCTACACGTCTTTTAAATACCTCCAGGGATGGTGACTCCACCACTTCCCTGGGCAGCCTGTTCCAAGGCCTGACCACTCCTTCAGTAAAGAAATTTTTCCTAATGTCCAATCTAAACCTCCCCTGGTGCAACTTGAGGCCATTTCCTCTCGTCATCTTTAAAAGCCTCTATCTTAAGGGAGAAGGAAAAAAAAATGCTGAATGAAACAAGAAAAAAAAAAAAAGAAAAAAAAAGAAAAAAGAAGGAAATGGCAATGTAAAATGATGAAGATAGCAAAGCCCCAACACAATGAGTATTCAAGCACAGATTCTCACTTTACATTTTTCAGCTTGTGGGGAATATTAGCATATTGATAGATACCGAATGTTGAAACACCGCAGCGTTTGGTGGGTTGTACAGGAACTGCTCTGGGTCTCAGCCAACCACCACACCCAGAGCAGGATTTGGTTGCCCAACCAAGCATCTAGTGTTGATTTAGATACTCTATATATTTTACCAACCAGCTCCGTAGGGACACCTCAAACACCCCATGCTGTCTCAGATGGCACTTGACACCTACGTTTATCTCACCTTTTGTGCCTGCAGCCTCTGGAAGGCCTGCCTGAAACAAAGTGTGCTGTACCATGTTTCCTACAGTCATTATCGCAAAGAGCAGCTGCTTTCTTAATTATCATTATTATTTATATAACCACGCTACTAAGTTCTGCACTTAGCAGGCATTCATTACCTTTGTAAAGGCAAAAGGTAAGATCCCATTGCTGTTGAAGCCAACAGAGATCTGCTGTGCACTTTTTGGAAATGGGATTTCATATAGGATACCGGAGCAATTTTTATTTAATGGGACAAAATACAGGCAAGGGATAGGGTAACAGATGTAGCATAAGGGCAAAGCAATTGAGCAATATACTTGCTTTGTGCTCTGCTATTTCCAAAGTGTTTGACAGCAGTGATGATAAAGGTGACCTTTCTGCTTCTGTTCATTCTACCCTCAGGCACAGATTTAGAAAATAGTTTCATAGATTCATAGATTTTTATACCAGAAGGGAGCGCTGTGATCAGCAATCTGACCTGCCGCATTACACAGGTCATTTGACTTGAATTAAACTTCTAGTACTCTGACTGTAATGGAACCAGATCCATTTTCTTATTGTATAGAGCCCTTGTCTAGATCTCTCATGATGAAGAAGCTATCACAAGCCTGGTAAGTTTTTAACAGTTAATCAAACTCAACGTAAAAACACTGCACTTTGTATCTAACTTGACTGTGTCAACGTTCAGTTTCCAGCCACTGGATCTCATTCCCCTACATCAATGCTTCATTTTCATTTGAGCCTTTCACGGACAGTTCTACTTACTAAAGTGAGGAAATATCACAGGTAAACAAATTCCTGGTGCAGCTGTCATCAATCTCCCTGTCAGGGATGTTTCATCAGGATGTAAGTTTGCTATCTACCCACCCTGATGAAAATACCAGCTGAAAATAAGAATTCCCAGTGTGAGTAGTAAAAGACTGGCAAGAGCACCGAGATGATGGGGTCCCACTATTGCACTAACTTAATAAAATAAAAAGTGTGCCCCAATGTAGAAGCCAAAGTAGGATTTCAAATCATGGAAATTTCATGTACCACCGAAGGACCTTTTTAAGAAAACGAGAAAGTTTTTCAGAAGCTTGCATTAACACTCCTTCAGTTTAGTAACGAAGGCATCAGTGCTGAGACATCTGTTTTCCTGCCACGTACGGCGCTAGTGCTAGTTTGAGAGCAGGCCAGAGGAAAGGTTTCCTCCATGCTGTAGAGGCTGGGGACCTCTACAAGACATGTCACCAGGGAGTCCAACAATTTCTGGCAGAGAAAGAAGCTGTTATCCCCACTTTCAAAGCGTCTAATGTCTTAAAAGCTGCATAGCCGAATAAGCACGCAGCATTAGTATCCAGGGACAGCAAGTCATGTAAAGGCATTTCTTGAAAGGTTACGAAAACTAAGTGTAACAAGCACTCAAATTCCACAACCGAGTGTGCACCACTTCACTTTCCCATTATGGCAATACTGTTTAACATACTAAACAATAAACTCAACATATGTATCTATTAGGTAATTTAATTACCTCCCCCCCAAAGATATGCAAGGTAATAGATTGATTTACATTTCTGGTTTTGACCCACAGTAAAGGAGATTAATAGAGAAAAGTAAATTAATTTAGATGGCAAGCTACTTAACCTAATTGGATCAATGTAATTCTGAAAGAGCAGGGATCAAAATAACGTTAATATATCATAGTGCAATTCATCACCATGTCTGGAGTTTCAAATGTTGTCAGCTACAACGCTCAGCAGTACCAGATGATTATCAATTTTTTGCACTGCATGAAGAGGCAGAAACAAATGCTGTCGAGAACTGCATCAGCTGCTGGATACGATTAAAAAAAATCAGTTGAAGCAACAGCAGAACTTTCTCATTTATTCTCCGAAGATGCAAAAGTACAATTCTTGAGTTAAATTACTTATGTACTTAGTCGGTGTGTTTGTCAGCACTGTGGATTTTTTCCCATTTCCCAGAGCCAAATTAACAAGTAGAAGCTTCGATGGCCCAGAAGGACAAGTTTTATCCCTCCTGATCTATGACAGACACAGCACAGGCTTCCTCATCCTCTGTAAATCAGCAAAAAAATTTGCTGAAACATTTTCAGGTGTCAAGCAGCTTCCACTAACCTAAGCCTCAGGGAATACGATGAACGTTATTTAAACTTCTAACCCTCACTTTCCCGGCCCCCCACAACGTGAAGTCTTAGGAGGTTTGTTTGGGGAGGGGGAAAATGTCCTGTTTTAAACACATCAAATTTTTTACTCAACCCATTTAATGACAGGAATGGTAATTTAACACACTGCCTCTCACTTGCAAATGAGAAAATCACTCTCTGCTCTCCAGGCACCAATATATTATTTCAAAAGGTTATAATGATATTTCATCACCCAGGGAGAGTCAGAGAGACAGAGTTGCAGAAGTTAGAGATGGAAAAAATCTAGTGGATCATAGAGACGGCCTCCCTGGAAGCCAAGCATGCTGTAGATCAAATTAGGTTCTGTCTCATCGAGCTTCAAATGTCAGAAGCGATGCTGAGCCCACCACTTTCAAAGGAACATTACTTTGCATTCCAACAGATGTTACTGTCATGATGCATTTCCTGATATTCAGCCTTTTCTAGCTTTTCCTAGTTACACTTCTTTCACTAGCTGAAACAATTGCTTTTCCTTCTTGGTACATATATCATTCAGATAAGTGCAGATTATTATCAAATTCTCCCTTAACCATCCACGTGCCAAGTATAGAATATCAGGCTATAAAAAATGACAAGAATTGTGTACTTTTCATGTTAGTACATGAAAACATCCTCACAGTAGGAGCAAACACCAGGGTTTCCCTTGGTGATGTGGGAGAAACAGTAGACAAAAGCCTAAGGAGCAAACCTCTTTCTAACAGCACACAGGCTTGCTTTTCGATCTGTCTTTTAGGATGAAACTTCTTTGGTTGCCCTCCCTGTTCCAGGTCATCCCCCTGCAATACAGAT